TGAAATTAACAATACAAAGTACACAAAATTAGTGCTCCTTCTGACAGCGAATTACGACGAAAAAGTGCACGGGAATCCTTTCCATTGGAAACGAGGAGCGAAAAATAAAGTAACCCTTGTAGACCCTGCTGGAGAGCGACAGATCTACGTGCAGTGGGGAGGGAGTGTCGAGTAATACTTCTGGCGGCTGTCTGGGCAAAGTTCAGAGAGTAAAGATTAAACGTGATCACAGAGTTCTGTCCTTTGGTGCACATTCGACTGCGCCTGTTGGTATTACAACATGGATATCTTCGCAGTGATTTTAGCTGTGGTGGTGGTGCTAGCGTCGGCTTACGTAGCGGCTAATCTCGCCTCGCCAGACGGGGTACCACTTCACGGCGTGTACGCCGTTCCCGGGCGGTGGTACTTGCTAAAATACCTCACAGCAAAATGGCTGCTGTGGTGGAGCCGAGAAAGGAAATGTACCATCAAAAAGAGGACGATGAACTACCACATGATGCAGGATAAGACCAAGGACATCGGTGAGATGGAATTCTACAATGGAACAGAGAAGGTGAGCTGAAGATCTGTATTACACCTTTCGATTTCATTTGGTAAAATCGAGAATCCATACGTAATCCAACTTCACTTTTATCTTTCGAATATTATTTTGTACTGACAGGAATCGACGTCTTATCGTATTATATCCAACCTCCTAAATGTGAAATTCAATTGTTCTTCAAGTTTCGATCGCGTTAAGAACACTTTAAGAAATATCGGGTTCGCTCAAAAGTAGCCTTTCGGGTACAACACGCTACAACTCGAACACTGTGTTAAGCCGAAAGTTCAATTCTTCCTTGTTATCATGCATTTGGTAAACATTTTTGAATACTGAACGTATTTAGAGCTTGATGGATAGTGTTTAGACATTAGAAATTGGTGTTTAGGAATGGAATCAAATGTTAAGCACCATGCTTTTAAAAAAGCACATATTAAGCAGCATGCTTAAAAAGTTATTGTAAGATTTAGTACATGAGCATGCACAGAAGTAGTTATACATGCATATTAAAACACGTGAATAAATCTTTGCCTTTTGATGTTTGGTTAATTTGTTGGTCACACGGCATAAACCATGATGCTGCCGTAGCATGAATCTATAAAATACACTTGCCACTTGGATTCTTGCCCTTCACTTCTGAGAAGTCTTCTTATTGTGCCCGCTGTTATTCATATTAACCATCGTCAAGCACAGCGTTCCTCTGAAGCTATGCGCTACAGCCAGGACCGGATCTAGCTTTCTGGGCGTACTGAAGGGATGCCCTGCTAACAGGGTCCGAAAGCATCAGGCACCTTTCCCTGATGATAGGAAAACTTAACTATTGAAGGACGGCGCAATCCTCGTCAGGGATGTTTTTTGGGGGTGTACTCATTTTCCCCTATCCTCACAGAGTACGCGGAACAGAACAATACATAAGCATGGGAAGTCAAAGTTTTTGGTGAAGAGCCCCCATGTTTACCAAACTAACGTCAGCATCCTTTCCATGTTTTGGTTTTCAGGGCCAGAACTGCCTTTACATCAGTGGCGCAAGCAACGGCGGTACGGCCCGACTAACGGTCTGGGTCTCTGTTCAGCCCGACGACCGGCGTGACGTCTGGTTCCTCCTGCGGCTACCGGACGTGGGCGACCTGGTCTTGCCTGTCCATCCCGACTGCGTCGCAGAGAACGTTCGGCCGGGGGAAGGGTTTAGCGGGGCGGGACTCCACTGTACGCCCATTGAGCCCTTGCGGATTTGGAGGATTTCATTCAACGGACTTTGCAGGTAGGCCGATGCTGTGGTGTACTATATAGTAAACAGCATACAGTGCCACGAGACATGATCCTTACCCTGTCGTTTACAAAGAAAACAATTCTTTTATGATTTTTATTCTGTTGCTGAGTTGGTTACTATCTTTCAAGTGTGAATTCAATAAGTCTTTCCTCGGTATTCGGTACATTTATTTCCATGCTAAATTGTCAGACTGTAGACAGCTGTGTAACTACATACACTAACAATTACGTCTGTAAACTATACACTTGTTTTTTTATGTTTTTTATGTATCTCGTGGGTTCGTCTGCGACCCTTTGGCCACAAGTGTAATTCTTGTTCACCTTTTTGCTTTGTCTGAATAACAACTCTTGTGTTGGACCTGAATGGGGTGATTCATATTAGTTTGTACATTTAATGTTTCGTGATATGGCTATGGATTGATCTGACTTCTGCAGCTATGGAAGCCGCTATGCATCCTACTGTTCATATGCACTGTTTAAAAATTCAACATTTACACCATAAAGGTCGAATTATAAACTTCCTATGCTGTATTTCCCAATAGTTGGGTAATCGTCCCCAAATTTACCCTCGGCTGTGTCAGCCAAAGACCATTTGTTGGATGAAGTGGTACGCCCCTAAGTTTGCTCAACTTTTTGTTTGACCGTATTGTTACATAGTAAGCTTGTACGTTAATAACAGCCGTAACTAAGTGATTCGGACACGGCCAACTTTGAATGTTCTGTTCACATGGTTTGTTCAAGAAAGGTTTATTTCGCTGTTTTGTTCAATTAACATTTGTTGCACGTAGCTTCTGCCTGAATATGATACCGATATCTTCATGCCCTCTTGCAGTTGCTAAAAATATTTGTGGAAGAAAACAATCGAATTTGAACATTGAACTCCAGCGGTCTGTTGAGTCTATGAAAGACCAACACTTCATATCGAGATAAATGAAACTATCGCTGTCGGGGACATAGACCTTTTATTGACCTTGCTATAGCGAAAACTTGCAGTGTATGTCAAGAAACGTGAAGCGTGCATGTCGATAACATTTGACAGATTTAGCTTTTTGAAAATCATCTTTATACGGTGGCAAAGTTTAACGATATCTGTCCCTTTAGGGTGTACGATCATAAGATGGTTACAAAAACTGATTTATTTTAATCACTCTTGACTTCTTTTGTTTTAGAGTAAATGCACAGAACCAAAATGCTGTGAATAGGAAAAAGAAGCGTTATCCAAAATTGTTTCCACTTCCAGGGTTGGTATCTCGAATGAATGGAATGAAGAGGACACAAGACCCATCGTTCATCTACGCTGTAGTCTGTTGTACGTATGAACCAGGAAGATAAGGCATAGGCCTATGCAGATGTCCCCAAAGAAGAGTCAAAAACTTTGTCATATTGTGATCATTGTACATACTAAAAGCACACAATTTGCAGCCGGGTTTTCTGCGGTAGTCGTGTCCCATGTACAGACTGGATGGATATTGATTTGAACTGAAACGCACTGCCAAAAGAAGGATTACCCTCCTCTAAATTTTGTAATGACGAGATAATTTTAACGGTTCAAAATTGGCACCGGTACGATTTGAAATGAGATTTACCCCGCCTTCTCTCAGATTTGCTGATCCAGCTCTTTTTAAAGGCTCGCCATGGAAATGGATTTTTTCATATGATTTACAAAGCGCTGGAGGTAATGCCTTTCCAGTGAACAAGTTAGAAGGTTGCAACGCAGCAGTCTTATAATGAAAATTTTTTGTCTGATCGGTCGAAAAAATAGTGATAGTTCCCTTGATACTAATTAACTACAAACAAAGGCTAACAAAATGACTAGGAACAAAGGTTTCTTGTTCTATTTCTCGGAAAATAATGTGGTTTATCCCACGTCCCGCATAAACGGGCACTCTCCCCAAACTGGGTCAAATTCACTATGATAAAGGCCGTTCCTTTTTATACAGGTGGAGCACCTACACAACTTTCTATGATTTTGGCGCTGACGCCAATCTCGGACTTGCTGCTGATGCCGTTGCCAGAGAAAAATGGACGGCTCCATTTGTCACCAAGATACAAAAGTAAAATGATCAATATTTCTCTACAACGTATTTTAATTTTGTTAAAAGACTTCACTGTATTCAGCGATACTCAGTCTCAGCAAAATGTTAATCGATTCTCAATCAATATTCCATCCACCCCAGTACCCATCGGGTCCACTATTCCCAGTTTGGGATGATCCACGGGGTGGTCCAAG